ACTAAAATATCCCATAGATGTTTAAAGTTTTACATCATATTCATTAACATTCCTCGCATATATCTACAAATGTTTTATGTACGCTGCAATTCTTGCATTAGCAGTTACGTAAACATCTTTTGTACTTCTTTTTAGTTACTTCCTATGACAAACATTTGTACGATGTTAATTTTTATAAATCACAAAAATATCGCATACAGGTCAGCACAGTAATGTGTACAAGTTACACATCTTTAAGACGGCTATCTTTAGTCTTTACATCGCAGACCTGGCAGACCTACAGTTCATCCCGCGTTTATAGATGGAGATACCCATGATCACTTGCTACTTACGTAACCGGTAGTACTGTATATTATAGAGCAGTCTGTTCCCCAGTCTTACTTTTATCTTTGATATTAATTTAAACCATTGTATTATCATACTTTGGGGTCTATTCTGTAACAATTCCTTTATATTTAACGACCTTTAAAAATATTTTCTTCTTTACTTCTGTCATTATTTAAACGGATCTTTAAAATACATTAGAGGACTATCTTAAAGAAATCTGTTTAAATAATGACAGAAGTAAATTAACGAATACGAACATATTTTTAAAGGCCGCCAATATTTTTAAAGGCCGTTAAATATAAAGGAGTTGTTACAGAATAGACCCCTTTTACTGTAAATTTTTCTGGGATTAGAAATTAGAAGTTAATTTGTCTTCTAAGCTTTTGACTTCAAGTTTATATATTTTTATTCTGTTTTATATAGATGGATTATAAAATATTTATATAACATGGTCCATATAAAATTTAAAAGATAAAGATAAAAAGGTATGAACTGTATCGTATTTGGAACGTCACATTTGGTTCATGAATGATTTTATTTTATGGGCTTTTATAATAACATTTACAAGAAGTAAAAAGACTTTCTTGGATATAACAGGAATGTCACATCTGATTTTTTAAAAAGACATCATTTTTGGGAACTTCCAATAACGTTGAATAACATTACAAGGTAGCGCTGTAATATCACCGCGTCTACATTGTTTCATCACAAAAGTAAACGTCTCTACTCTGAGCTTAGACGGTTATGAGTTCGTCCTACAGATGAAAACAAGATTAAAAATAAGAGTTACAATGTAACAATGTGATGTAAATTTGTCATTAATTTAACGTTTTTATGCATAGTGGATATACAATAAGTAGACGAAGCAACGACTTCTTGTAGGGTGGAGGCGAAGCAGTCACCAAAAATTTTTAACCCATACCTGGCTACGCCGACTGGCATAGACTCCAACGGCCTGGACACAGCTCAAATTGAAAATAAAAAAAGTATTTTTTACAAATATTAGATAAGTGCCGACATGCCGTAATTACCGCACAATCCATCATGAAATGAAATAAAAATACGGATTCTATGATTATTAAAAATGTTTTCAATTCGGGATCCAAATTCACCTGCTGGCCAGACACTACGTAATTATTCAGTCAACTTCCATTAACCGAATTATTTAATGATTTATATGTTTTCGTACTCGATTTGGCAACACCGCATTTATAGAAACTAAAAACACAGCTTATACAATACAGCTAAAACACTCTCTTGGCGGCAACGGTTTGCGTCGATTTCGTCGCGCATCGCTTAAGCTCCGCCTTCGAAGGGAAAAGACGGTTTTGGCGTTCAGAAGCGTACTTAGGCAAGGTGTTGAGTCGTGCGCATAATTTCGTTGATTGTATAATTTCGTGGAGCCTATAATTTCGTTGATTTTGTTTGAGTTAAAGGTACTGTTATTATTTTGGTGACTCTTTAGCTGTGAGTAGAATGAGTTTGTGCAGTTAAAAGCTGTTTAATAAGGGTTATACCTGCAAGAAAACATTCTTTAGTTTTCCCAAGGACCCAAACCTATAAGTACTACATTATAAGAAATTTTCATTGTTAAAAATATAATTTATACAGGGTGTCTCATTAGTGCGTTATTGTTCATTATTTTGTTGTAGACACGCAAGAAAGTTTTAAATAAAAGTTATATGGATTTGAAAAATACCTACATATTTTAAAAATATCTTTGGATATACAGGGTGTCACGTTTTTGCCTGGAAAATTAAAATGTATGTTTTTTAAATGGAACACCTTGTATTTTATTTTATGATGAAATTATTAACACCCTAAATTATTGTAAAGACGAATTGCTACAGAAAAATTTTATCAGGTATGTGTGTGGTTACCTTTTAATAAAAGCCTTGCGGATCCACTCCTGCGATACCTGTCTTAAATATAACAAAGATCACGTTGAATTAGACGATTTTTCTTTTTATTGCTTTTAAAAGGCATATGATAACGCCAATTCAGATATATTTGGAAATCTGCAACTGTCAAATGATGAATTTGTAGAACTAATATTCAATATTGAAAAGATATTTTAAAATAATTTTGAAGAATTGGCTACAAAAAATAACATTTGTACCACACTTTTAGAATTAATTAACCCAATACCCTTTAGTCATCCATGCTAACGTTTTCCAAAAGAATAACTTATTTTATTGTATGTTTAATCTCAATAACTAAAAAATATACTGACAATTAGTTTGACAGAATTGTCATTTATTTAAAATTTTAAAAATAATAGCAGTCGGTTGATCAAAATATGAACGGTGATTGGCGAATTTATTTTTTTTGCAGTGTTCTCACTACCTAGAATGGATATGAAATATATTCGTTCAATTGAAGGCAATAGCATACTTTTTCGTTTTGTAATCTGTGCATGGATATTAGCCAATCTACGCACATACTACAAAACGAAAAATTATGTTATTGCATTCAACTACGAATATATTTCATATCCATTTTAGGTAGTGAGAAAACTTTAACAAAATTAAATCTACAAATCACAGTTCATATTTTGGTCACCCAACTCCTATTATTTAAAAATTCTTAAATAAGTGATAATTCTGTTAAACTAATTGTCAATATATATTTTAGTTATTGATATTAAATATACATTAAAATTTTTGTGTAGACTCGATAAATAATAGCATTTTTGTTTTTATTATGTCCACATTTAAAAAAAAATAAATTTTAATCAAACTACATGATACTAATTTAATTACGAGTATTAAAACTAAAGTTCTGAAAGTTTCGGTGAAGATGAGGACAGAACATCTGCCTTCCATGCGAAAAGCCCGGGATCGAATCTAGGCCGAGGACTAATTAATTTTTAATGTTTATTTTATTTTATAAATTAGTCAACTTCGTAAATTATTTTAAAATTAGTTATTTTGTCTAAATAACCTAAAATAATTTTTTAAATTTGTAGATTTTCGTTAGTGGGTCGTAGAAAAAATATACTGACCATATCGAGTGGATTGTTCATATCACAATCAGACGATTGAGTACTCCGCCTACGACGTCGTGCTCAAACTTCGTCTTTGTGTGATATGGCTATCATATCCACCCTTGTTGAACAAACTACAATTTATTTGTTTTCTTGGTTTAAGTTTTACATCAGAAATAAGAACTAAATTAATTTACTTTTCAAGTTTTCTTGTAAAAATCGATATTACTTTCTCCAAGTACAAATTTAGTACCGACCTAAAATAAGTACTAATTATGTAATATCGTGTAATATTGTAATTCAAATTTCACATTACTATAAAGTTTCAAAATTCCCTACTTCGGTATGATCAGATAAAAATTGAATATATTATATTAATAAAAACTGTTAAAGTATTACTTCTACAAATCTGTATTTCAATTAATAAGAATACATCTAAATATAACCAATATTGTTAAAATAAAAGCACAAATTCTTTATAATTCCAAAATACCATAGAGTTCCCAGACCTCAGTCGAAGCATTCGTTTATCTAGGTATAAACCCTTTGCGCGAAGAGTAACTCTTGCCAGAGACACGGGGTACCACTTGATTTGCATCCACGAGCGTGACACATTTCTTTAACAATTGAAGCCCTTGGTGTAAAAAGGATCCAAGTCACAATTTGTCGTGAAGTGACTGTTTTAGCTCAAAACATTTGTTAACGAGGATTTTACTAGCCACATACAAATTATTTTACCTCTAATCCGAAAGATGTGCTATTTTTCGTAATATTTATATTTAAATAATTTTTTTAATTATATTTGACAGATTTAAAACAAATTAAAAATTTAATTTCCCAAAACTTACTTAACATGGCATGTAACCAACCTTATTACGTCAAGGTTTTCAATTTTTTCAATAATAAAAAAATTGCTTAATCCGGGCCCGACTTTTCCCTTTAATCTAACAGAGATAGCACCATTCCGTCTTGCTTGGTTCTCGACCGCCAGATCAAAGACGCCGACACGGAGTTGTGGAGCTGTATTGTATAAGCTGTGCTAAAAACATCAATTGTCATTGAAAATAATTTATTGTTTATTTGTTTTCCTAACAAACTAAAAATAAAAAATAAGAAAATTTGATCGTTTATGAAACAATTTGTTAATGTTTATTGCTCTATGAATGGTCTAATATTGATATTTAGCTGTTTCTACAACAAGAAATCAGTTAAAATGGTTAATTTCACATTTGTTTTATGATGGAGACCCGACAACAAATTTTAAGGATTTTAAAGGAAAAAAAAATATTTTTTAGTGTCAGCGGACCCAAAATTGTTATGTATAGTGTGTTTCAAAGTGTCTAGAAACTGTCTATAATATTTCAATAGTTATATCCGCCGTTCGAGTGTCGGCGTATAATAACCAATTAAACATGTATGTATAGGCATTAAAAGTCAAAATTTACACTTGCGTCATTGTTCTTCCGGAAAGCAAATTATTATGATCCACGTAGTTCTTATTTATTGTTTTTTTATGTTCACCCTATAGCTTTGGTAACGATTAACGCGTGCCGATCCACAATCCTCCGCATACTACACCACCATGCACCGGCCAGCCGAAGAATCAAGTTTCCATGAATTTTTTCTTTTATTAGGCAGGATATCGTAGCGGTCTGGGCGCACCGTAACAACAGACGATCAGTCTGGCTTTGACTGTCATTGGATGCTTTTCTGCATCCTCGGACGACGCCGACGCTAGAGGCCGACTCCGCATTATCGCGCGATATTTGAATGTTTTCTATTTTCATTTGCTGAATGAAATTGTTTTTATTTTTCGCATACTTACTATGATCCGGACATCGTACCGCGATTATTAAATATTATCATTTTCGTTGACATTGTGATAAAACTGATAAACTTTTGTTTTGTATATGATAATGTGGAACGCGTGGTATTGGACCTAAATTTATTTTTTATATATACCTAATTATATAAAAATTTTGTGATATTAGTGCTGTTTTGTATAAATTTTAACTAATTTTAACTATGAGTGACATTTTTTTAGTGTATTTCCTGATTGTCATCATGAATTTTGGAATTGTTTTGAACGATGTAAGTCCAATTTTATCTAAGATAAATAAATTATATACGTAATGACATTTTTTCTATTGCATTATCCTTTTTTCGAAAAAGAAAGCCCGCGCGTTATCTAGATTCAGACCCTATTGACTTTTTACTACCGATATACGTGTTATCATCCTATCCAACAAACGAGGTGTAAAAGGGCAATTTTCTGATAGATATTTTAATATAAAGGTCGTGCTTTATACTACATAACAACCAGATTTAAACTCTATTGACTTTTTACTCTTCCAAGTACTTTTTTGGGATATAGATGTTTGTTTCATCCTTCGCAATGATTGGATGCGATCCCTATCGACATTTTACTTTTTAACTACGAATTGTTAGAATATATCGAATCCTATTAACTTTTTTTGTTTTGTTACGGGATATATTTTTGTTTCATTCCGCGTGGACACCAGATACGAATCCCATTAACATTTTACTTTTTAAAGGTACGAATTGTTTCATCCCACCGGCAACCAGATACGAACCCTATTGACTTTTTACTTTTACTTTAATACTAATTGTTTGAGGATATGAGTACTTGTTTTATCCCACACGGTGACTAAATAGAAACCTTAAAGGCCTTTTACTTCTTTACAATTTTGAAGTTACATAGGTACCTATTTGTTTCAGACCAGACCAGACGCGAACCCTATTAACTATTTATTATTGATTTTAAATTTTGGGAATTATGGTTTCGAACATGTATATTATTATCATCGATGATTTTCAATAAGCAGCTGATCATTATTAAACACTTAATTATCGAATTTTTCAATTGTTTGTAGTTTTTAAAGAACTCACCTTTGATCCTAAATATTTAGGCCGGTGAAATCATGGGTAATGGGGTCTATTCTGTAACAATTCCTTTATATTTAACGGCCTTTAAAAATATTGGGGGCCTTTAAAAATATGTTCGTATTCGTTAATTTACTTCTGTCATTATTTAAACAGATTTCTTTAAGATAGTCCTCTAATGTATTTTAAAGATCCGTTTAAATAATGACAGAAGTAAAGAAGAAAATGTTTTTAAAGGCCGTTAAATATAAAGGAATTGTTACAGAATAGACCCCTACTTCTGTCATTATTTAAACGGATCTTTAAAATACATTAGAGGACTATCTTAAAGAAATCTGTTTATATAATGACAGAAGTAAATTAACGAATACGAGCATATTTTTAAAGGCCGCCAATATTTTTAAAGGCCGTTAAATATAAAGGAATTGTTACAGAATAGACCCCATTATCTATTAAAAAGTCTTCCAGTACTATACACTCCTTAGTGAAACTTGTGGTGGTTTATTGATACGGATTTTCAAGATTTGTGTGTTCAGAATATGCTTGTTTTATTTTAAAATACAAAAATCTGATGTGTCCAACACATGACTTTCCTTTTTAGTTATTACAGGCTTTTTTCAGTTATTTTGTACAACATATTGCAGCACCTTGGTAAATATTTGGAGGTTAACTTAATATATACATTTTCCACATACATCTAACTCCAAACATTTTTTTATATACACTCATTGCCAACGAAAATGCTGAAAAATTTAAATTTTATACTTTTCCTCCAATTTTTCCATTACGGTCCATTTTAGAGATCTCATGAAAAAAACCAAAATTGTAGAGATCGATAACAATTTTCTTAAAAATCAGAATTTTTTACATTTTGAAAAATTTCTCCTATACGGATCATTTTAGGAAAATTTTGTATTAAAAAAAATTATAGAGTAATATTAGAAGTGACTTTTATTTAAAGAATTTTCTTCTCCAAACGTAAATAACAGATATATTTCATAAAATATTAAAATGACCCCCTATAAAGTACCCCCCAGATGTTTAGACTCTGCCCAAAATCTAATCAGTTCACCTCAGGTCGCTCAGGTCGGAATAAAGCTTAAGTTTAAAATTTTGTTTTTGTTTGTATCCGTTCATTAGTTATCGTGGATACAGACATACAGACACACAGATACACACAGACACACACACCCAGACATCATCGCGAAAATAGTCAAAACGGATTCAGGAGACCCCAAAACGTAAAAATCCGTCGAAAACTCGAGGTCGAAAAAATCATGATTCCTATACTTTCCTATTCTGTATACAGATAGGAAAGTAAAAATTATCCAAACTGTTATCACTAAAATCTGAATTTACATTGAAAAAGTATTCATTTAGAATGACAAATTATCAAGAATTTTGTAATTTATTTGAATAAAAAAAAATAATTTGATACATCCTCCGCGGTGATCATATTTAGCTCCTATTGATTTTTTAATAGCCCTCTGGTCCAATCTGTTGTTAGAGCAAAAAATATTCATTTAGAAAAACAAATTTTATATTAATTTATAAAAAAAATTTAATTTAATAAAAAAAAGTTATTTGATATATCCTTGGCGGTGATCAGATTTGGCTCCTATTAATTTTTGAAATTTCTGATCCATTATATTGTAATGGTTCCACCCTGTATTCTCCGACATTCGCCGAACACTAAAGGTTGTGCTTCCTATCATAATTAAAAAAAAAATCAATGCCGACACGTAACACGACACGTAACACGACACGTAACACGACACGTAACACGACACGTAACACGACACGTAACACGACACGTAACACGACACGTAACACGACACGTAACACGACACGTAACACGACACGTAACACGACACGTAACACGACACGTAACACGACACGTAACACGACACGTAACACGACACGTAACACGACACGTAACACGACACGTAACACGACACGTAACACGACACGTAACACGACACGTAACACGACACGTAACACGACACGTAACACGACACGTAACACGACACGTAACACGACACGTAACACGACACGTAACACGACACGTAACACGACACGTAACACGACACCTAACACGACACGTAACACGACACGTAACACGACACGTAACACGACAATGATCAAAATTCGATCTAACACGTAGCATTGAACAAAATTTGATCAGTAGTATTACTGAGGCCCTTCCTATGGGGCCTCAGTATTGCATTCGTGCAGATGAAAAAAATTTCTTACCGCCATTTTTTAAAACTTTTTTCATGTTTCCGAAAATGCAAAAAAAATGTTCTTCTGGTCGTCTGTGTTTATGTGTGCTGGCACGATAACTCTAGAATGAAAGTTCTGATTGACTTGCGGTTTTGATTTTCTTGAATAATTACTTAGAACCCTATTGATTTTAAGAATTTTTGGTGCATCCTAACTACTTTAATATCAATTTTCTTAAAATCCGCTTATGCATTTCTTATATGACTAATTTTAGGAATTCCAATTATTCCTAACGCCTAACATTATTTAAACATGTTTGTATGCTTCTCTTGATATTTATTGCAAATAATTTGTAGTGTATCTCAATTCAGGCTTTCCATAAATAAAGGTACAGCAAGACAGATAATATAATGTTCTTATACAAAGCACTTTTTATTATACACTTTGTTATATAATGCTGGTTTTTTGTAGATAATTTTAATTATACAATTTTGGATAACATTAAGGAGTTGAAGTACAATATCATATAGTCCACATTATACCATATCGCAAAATAGATTCAACCAGCGAATTGTAAATAATAATTAGTAAACTCCTAGTCATAAATTTCATCAATTCACAAAATTTCAAAATGAATCTTCTAACTTGCGTTGTTAATGACGTAATGTGATCAACCCATTTCAAATTATGATCAATTATGATACCGAAGTATTTTGTTGTGTTTTTCATTTTAATTATAAAGTTGTAATTTACATGAAAGTCAGATTGGCTTCTTGTATTATAGTTGTGATATTGCGAATTATATTGGATTTTTTGCGATTTGATGCGATGGTACTGTCATTTTTATTTTATAAATAAATATCAGTCATGTACTGAACATAATTCTGAACTGCAAGCCATATTATTATTTTTAACATAGTTGCAATGCTCATCCTTCTGTCCTTTATTAATATTATACAAATAGACGAAGTAAGGAGCCGAAATATTTTATATGAGCAGGCTTAAGAGGTAAAGGAGCCAATTATTATTGGATAAATTGCTCGAACAAGTTTGTAAACCGTAATCAAGAAACTTGTGAAAATCATTACATGGTTTAACCTAAGTAATGCCAATGCTTCACAAACCAAAAAATTTAACGTCCTAATACTACTATCGGCTTTCGGTCTTTCGTTCCAAATTAAACCTATTCTCGTTTTTTTACGCTACGAGTTTACTCTTGTGGGCCTCAGTCTCGATAAGGTGGGAACCACCATTTTAGCATCTCTCGAATTATGATTTTTTTGATGGACATGTTGATGACACCAGTAACTGACATACCTATTTTGATACATACCCAATAGATGAAATAATAACTGATACATTTTGATAAATATAAATACATGTTTATTGAATAATTGCCATGCTCCAACTGCAAGTTTTGGACAGAATATGTAGCTGGTGGGTACATTAACAGTACAAGCCAGTTACAGAATCCTCTCAAAAAGTAACAGTGAGAGTCGGACAACATTATAGTGATCACAAAGTAAATCATATATAATCTGCATATTTTGAAAATTCTGGGACTCAGAAAGCCCCTGTCTCATTGGCCTTAAAAGGTTCTTCTATTATCTCCATGATGTCTTGGTACTCGTACCATAAAGTATCTTCTTTGGGAGGCCACTACCAAGTGTTTGCTTGACATTTTTGCATCACACTGAAAAAGACACTACTCTCCTTAATTTCCTTAATAATTCCGAGAAAATAATCTTGTTCATATAATTAAGTAATTGACAACAGCAAAGTTTTGCTGCACTGAATTGGGAAGTTGTGGTAGAGTTCATGTTCAGATTCCAAAATTACCTTTCGACTTGAATCTGAGGATGACCATGATAAAATCTTTCTTTGAACTTTTTAATTTTTTCAAATGATGGTTTTTGTTTTAATTTTTTTGTCTTTTCAGTTAGTTTTCGTTTAGCTTTAGCCTT